AAGTTTTGGCAAAAACAAATGTCTCTAGGCAGCTTTCTAGTAAAACAGAATTAGATATGTATCATAAATAAAAAGCTAATTATATCGGTTGTTGTTGTTCCCCCCCCCCTGCAAATCAAATTCGCATTCCGGGTTGGTTCATTCCGCATAGAAGAAAAGATGAAGATGATTCACGCTCCTTATAATTTTCTTTGAATAAATGTTGTACAAAAAATTTTTTTATTTATTTATTTTTTTTTGGCATGGAACGCATTATCATATTTTACATTAATTTATATGGGAAAAATTGTTTCGCATTATGAGTAAGATTCTGGAACGAATTATGCCCGTTAAGCGAGGTTCTACTGTACCATAATCCCATAAATGTCAATATGTGCTGTATACCTTGTTTTCTTAATGTCTGATAACCTAAACAATTAAATTCATTGGCATGTTTTATTATCTTATTCTTTATGACTATTCAATATGTTTTGTCCATCAGGAAACCAATTCATTTTTGGAATTCTAAAACTAATCCCTTATGACATATATGGGAAGATGATACTAAAATGGATCTTAAGGAAGGAGAGTGTGAAGACAGAAATCGTCTATGAATTATGGACACATGAATTAATGTTTCTTTTAATATATACCTCACTTTAACATAAGAGTTTAGTTTTTTTGTATGTAGACAATTTTTTAAAGTGGTAATATTGTTTTTCTGGATAATCATTTGTGACCATGTAACTAAGGTTTTATGTCCTTCACAGCTTGCACTCAATATACTGGGTTTATTATACCTTGCAAATGGAGATTTTTCCTGAAATGTATGTTTGTGATTTTGTAATTTTATATGAAGTCAAACCATGGTGGAGTGCAGGGTAAGCTGCCAGCTGGTCTTACTGAGGTTGGTGTTGGGCAAGATGGCAGCACTGCCACGAAACACAATGAGGAGGAAGCTGAGGAAGATGAACGGGAAAGCAATGAGGACATAAACGATGAGGAAGATGATGAAGGGGTAAATGAAATTATGAATCTAAGGAACTGTAGATCAATAATTACAATTACTTTAAACATTCCTGCTTACCTGTGAACTTCACTGTTAGTTTACATTGTGAACTGGTTCAGTGTGCTACTTAACATAGAACTGTGTGTATATTCTAGCCAGCTATATTGATGAACTGGAATGTGGTGGAGCATCTGCGTAATGTAGGTGGATGTCGTGAATACTTCGGTGCTGTGATTGCTGGTTACATCAGTGCTATCTACCAACATCTGCAACATGTAGAACAGCCACAGACCCCTGTGAGACGCCGTCGACTTGGCAGTCAGAGTCAAATATTACCTCAGCCTCTTGGTATTGGTCGCTTTGCAACAACTGCAGAATTTGCAAAGCAACTTATTAATGGAGAAATGGCTCAGAAATTATACAAGTGAGTGAAGAGAAGCTTTTTTGAAGTGTGCCTAGTGTAGGTAGAGTAAATTTGCCCTTGTGCTTAATTAAGAACTGATGAATAATGCATTTTTAACCTCAGCACTCCACAAGGTGGAGGTGAGTTGTGAGATTCATGCTTTGCTTGTGGTATTCAGTAAGAGGCTGAATGGGCACCAGAGCTGGTTATGATGCTGTGGAAATGAGAATTATTGACCTTTCCGCAACAAAACCAACTTAGTTATTATATCTGATACCGTTCGCATATCACACATGTAGATTCAAATCTGAAAACAATGGCCAATGTAGATTATGGCATTTGAGTAACATTATATGTAAAATAGTATGATGATGGCTAATAGTCCAAAACATATAAACTAATTCCGTTGTGTACAAGAATTGTGTTGACAGAACCTGTCATATCTGCAGCTACTTTTTTTTAACTTTGTTTGATGGAACATATTCTATTTTTTAAATCATTCGCATTGGATAATAATTCTGAATTAAAATACACAATTATATTTAACGGTGGGGTGTAATTTATAGTGCATGTTGGTATTTTTTAGGATTACACAAACCATACATGAGAAGGCCCTGAAGCAAGCGAAGAACCTCATTAAGGAGAATGATGAAGATCAGTTTTCTTGGTCAAAAAACTCACATATGGACCTAGAAAAAGTATCCCTTGAATTTGTCAAGACTGTATGCAAGGTATGGAAATTGGTGAATTTAAGAAAAAGTAGGGGAATGGGTGATGGGTTCAAGGTTACCCAGGAACATGTTACATTGTTAACTATACCTTGTAGAGAGTTCCACTCACTTTTCAAAAACTAACAACTCTAGTTTTCAAAAGAGAAATGTTACGTTACATTGTCAGTGGAAGATATTTGTTTAAATATCAGCTGGAGGTCAGGTTATCCTACGAGTAGTATAGCCTGAGTGATGATGTCCTATGACATGTGTAAAATATTTGCAAAAAATGCACAGCCTCTACTTGCACTTTCCTAATATTATTACGTATGTTAGTATAACAGTTACTGTTCCAATAACACAACATCTTTTGGCCTTCTCTTCCTTTCAAGTGTGTGAAGGTTGAATCCAAGCTAAGGTTAACAAATATATTCATGCAGAAAACCAGCATGTCATAGACACAGAATATAAAATTGGAGAAACCTTATTGAAGTTGGCTTAAGGGAGTTAGTCTGGCCTCTTCTACTTTACAGTACTTGAAAGTAATTTATTAATTCTATTAAATTCTTTGGTAAATCATTCTTTTCAGTGAAGTTAAATTTTTATTTGTTCAAACTGCCATTGTCTGAATACTTGAAAACTTTGCTTGACAAATAAATACACCATGACCTCTCAGGAGTGTTTAATAAAGTTGAAAATATTTGTCGTGACTCGGAAAAGATTATTCATGACTTAATCTCGCAAGTAATGTCTGGTAAGAAGTGGTCCTACTTGATTCCATTTTGTAATTATTCTCTATTTTAAAATTGTCCTGTAAAATCGTGAATATCTTATACCACATTGTTTTAAAAATTGATAAATGCATATGCTTCTAACTACATATTTTGGTTTGTGAAAGCTATTTTTAAATGCAGCACTTAACCCTTGAAAGCAACTGCTTTGCCATTTAAATATATTTCCCATGGTGTGTTTATATTGTAACAGATTTGATCAACACTTTGCCAGGCAACTGTTCAGTAAACACAGTCCAATATGCAACAGTAGATGAGGCTGTGTTTTCTATGTTGTCCACACCATGCCCAGTGCTGGCAATGGACCAGTAGACTCGCAGTCTGACACATAACACATGTTTTCTATGGGGTCCGTACCGAAGAATTATAAGAGGTTCCAGAATAACCGTAAACCTGGCGGCAGTCAAGCATATGACCATTCAAGTGACTAGACTGCTGTTATAGCAGGCGCTACCAATGATAGGGCATGATCTGCTGTAATAAGCCTGGACTGACAGAGGCCCTGTATATGTTGTACATACTGACAACAGACTTATTACTGCTGACTATGTCTCTGTAAAATGACAGGCCCATCCTCTCATCAGAGAGAGCACCCCACATCAAGAAGCCTGGAACTGCCATACAGTTATAAAGATCTGGTCTTAAGCCCCAGATGGCTGCTTTATTCCAAGACAGACTGGCCGGCTGACTGTGGATCGTAACATAACTTTGACTTTGACTGAGAAGGAGTCCTGGAGAGTTGAGTTGGGAGCACCAGGATGAGAATAGAGCATGTCCTTAGTCAACTGTGAAGATTAGTTGAGTACACATTAGGACAGAGGAGTACAGAGTGATTGAAGATGAAATATCAAGAAGACTTCATAGATATTTTAAATGCTAGTTTCTGTGTTAAGAACCACTGCCAGGAGACGACTAGTGAAGACAGAGGATCCTAGTGCATGAGCAATGGTGAACTGATAGTGTGTAGAATAGCGATAGCATTAAAATTGAGTGTGATTAAGAGAAGTAACCAAAATGCCAGTAAATCCAATCATCCAATCTAGAACTCATTATTTTAGTCACGCATACCTCTATACACATTAGAAGTCTGTGTATCCGTGTCTGTGTCTTCTGTGAAAAGTCCAAATTACCTAACAGGTAAAAAATAGTTGTTTAGGTATGTTATGACTGGTAAAAATTGTCCCTGTAAATGATATGAACTCCGTCCCAAGTGCAAACAATATATTATATGTCCTTGATCTTGCTCTCCTTTACACTACATGTTTCGGCCTCAAACGGCCATCATCAGGTGCATACACTCACGTTGCTGTTACACTGCACTTAGTTTAAAATTTAACATTTAAAAACACATTGTATCTTTCGTTGTTATTATCAACATCTACTTCGTTGATATCTGTCTGGTTTATAGATTATTTTTGTTACACACGTTAGCACTTATAAAATCTTTAGTTCTAATTTTAAAATCCTTTAAAATTTTTATCTAAATTTTAAAATTTAAAATTATCAGGATTACTCGCCCTATGTCTGTAGTGCTGCAGTGGCTAGTTCTTGTTTCCAGCACTGTACAGGTGTGCCGCTGCTATTCTTTACTATGTGTAGGCACGTAGTCTAGGGTCTACTAGGGTTAATGTTGGTGACAGTAAATAAAGAATGAAGAAATTAGTGGATTGACTGTCAGAAACATAAATCCTCAAGAAATTTGCTTCATTGCAACTTGATTTGTCACAAAGCATTTCTCTTGTATGAAAGGTTTCATTGACCTCAGAATTTGAGAATTATTACATTTATATTTCCTTTTTTCACATCCATTATGTGAATATTTATGTAGGTGTTGTCATTGGACTCCAGTGTACAAGACGAGGTTACAAAGGTTCGTCGGAACATGTTGCGACTGATCAATGTTGGAGACTTCAGTGATGAAGCTGTATGGCATGATCCTTGTGTTTCCTTTGTCTTACCAGAAGTAATCTGCAAGGCATGTAACCATTGTCGAGACATAGACCTCTGCAAGGACAATTATCAAAGTACTGAAAATGACAGGTGAGGTTAATGTTGTGGTATGAAGGAAGCTTTATGAGAAAATATACATTAAAATGAAATACTGCAGAGCTGTAGGTAAGAAAGACTACATTAATAATGAACTTGTTTTAGCATCTTATTAGAGAAGCCAAAACATATTTCAGGCCATAACAATACAAATCTCAACTTACAAAGAAAGAACTTGTGAAAAATATACAGTCATTATTTAAACCATAGTTTTATTTCAAGCCTAGTCAAAAGTTTAACTGAATAATTTAATTTAAAATAAATCCTCAGGATCATACTTGCCCCATAAAAAATAAAAAGACTCCATGGTTTTGGTTCGCAAGTGAACTATATCGACCAAGCGACTGCCACTTGTCGGCGAATTTAGTGCCAACCCCATAAACTCTTTTTAAATTATTTAACTGTAGTGTAATTCAAGATTGAATACAGCTACCATGCACCAGCAGCCAGACACTTTACACATCACTGACTGGCCAGATACTTAAGTTGCACATCTTATTTCTAATTTTCAACTCAAAAATACAGACATGATGTACAGACAAATCATTCTGTTTTCAACTTCAGAAGACTGGAAAAGTTTTGGTAATATGTTAACAAAAAGTGTAGAAATATAAAAAAATTAAGATAGATTTCTTCCTCAGACATGTAACTTCTTTGCAGAAAGAATTATTTTGTAATAATTCATATCTAAATATCAAATTGTTGCAAATATATGGTGGTTACATTCTCTGATATGCTGAAAAAATGATCAGACTAAACTTACACATTGTGGAATTATAGAGTGAACTAGAAATTGTTCTGTGAAAAACATAGGCTTAATTCACATCTTCTCACCCTACAGCTAGCAGGCTGGGATAAATGCTACAAACATATTTTTAAAAGGAAACGTTTGTACTGGGGTTGTGCAACTTCAGTAGAAACATGTTACAAGATGTTACATATCTCTGTAAGACTAGACATAGCAGAAAGACAGGTGACAAATTATGTGTTGTTCTTAATGTGAATTTCGAGCTCTTTCATGTCTACCTTTCTGCACTCTGCCAGGAATTTCAGCACTTCTGTTGATTTCTCACACTTTAAACTGACACTTTTGTGCGTAGTATTTCTTCATTGTTTTGTACTTCATATACAGGGTGTTTCACGACTTTAGGGCATAACTGTAGGAGGTGATTTCCTAGGTCTTTGTGATAAAAAAAGTTCATATAAACATGTGTCCGATTTTGGACGGTTACGGAGTTATGACCGTTTTAAACTCAGAATAGAAGGTAACGATTACTGACAAAAGACGTAACAAAATAATAAACCAGCATAATACATGATACATTTAAAGTATGAATGTAAAGTTAACTTCGTGAAATTACCTTTAATTTGAATTGATTGGTGCTTAAAGCTGATTTTCGAAAATGCCACCGCCGGCCACAACACAGGCTGCCGCTCGGTTGTGAACTGCATGGGTAACACGTAGCAGCTTCAGCTGGCTGTTTCTTATGTGGTCAGCGGTGTCCAGAATGCGACCGAGCAAAGCATCTCGCGTTGCCACCTTCACATTGTAAACCAGTTCTTTCTTCCATTCCCACACACAATAATCCAGTGGGCTTAAGTCTGGAGACCTGGCTGGCAATTCTTCGCGTACTTGTACGTGGACTGCAGTGTACCATACGAACATTGCCTTCTTCATTGACACCTTCATTAACACCATGCTCGGCTGCAATACGAACGCCAAGATGTCTACCGGTATCTCGCAATGCCTGGTAAACTCCAGTAAACACTCTCCTGTTCGGTATTCTACAATTCGGAAACTGTTGCTGATATTCAGTTATGGCAAGAACTGAGTTACCGTCACAAACCCCCTACACATAAATCTATCTGCATACTCCTCAAATGAAAATGTAAATGGCATCGTGAATATAACAGATGCACCGAGATAAGAACTGTTCTGAACACCAGTAGCCACCACGCTAGCCGTGGCCTTACATACCAACCCACCATGCCTTAGGTACCTCTCAAGTGCCGAGATAACGAGAACGCTCTGTAGCTGGCTAAAAATAGCGACCTGCCAGATGATAGACTCGATTCACACAAGGGTGTGTACAGGAATGCAAAAACGGTCATAACTCCATAACCGTCCAAAATCAGACACATGTTTATATGAACTTTTTTGATCACAATGACCTAGGAAATCACCTCCTGCAGTTATGCCCTAAAGTCATGAAACACATGTATAGTACAGTCGAGCCTCTTTTTACTATCAGTATTTTATGCTTTTGAGCCTCAGAATAATTGCTCAGACCTGTATTTCTGAGAGACTTCAGTGTTCGTAGCTCATAAATATTTCACTTACGTTGAACGTTTCTGTTGTTGCCATGTTCTGATTTTCGTCTCCGCATTAGACCACTCTTCACTTGGAGCTTTTTATGAAAAGATTCCATATGCACCAGTTCCTTCCGTCCAATGACATTTATCCTTCATAGCCATATATCGTGGACGTTTTCTCTGTGATAACTTTATTTTAATTGCATTTCCTTGAAAAGAGCTATTTCTAATGCAAGACACCCTCCACCCCCATGCAGTTTGAGACCTGACAACAAGTATGATGATAAAGTCAATGAGAAAATCTAAACATTCAAGGCTGTCCAAAAGGGCATTTTGGGGGTGGTGTGTAGTATGTTAATTTTAGATAAATACAGCAGCTGAACATGAGAACATTCCCATTCTTATGAAAACTATGCCTACATGTTGTTTACTTAGTACATTTCTACTGATCAAGTATCTTCACTTTGCAGTCCTGTTTGGCAGTGTCCACTGTGCCGCACCAGCTATGAAAATAGTGAAATAGAATACCTCCTGCTAGACATAATGCACAGGAAAGCAATGGCTTACACACTGCAGGATCTTCAATGTAAGAAATGTCTACAGGTAAGTTTAGTTAGTAAAGCACCCTTCTTGTAATTATACACCCCAGTGAAAGTGTGGATGTCATGTTACATGACGTTTGAGCCCTCTCTTTTGAATGATTGCACATATGTTATCTGCTGCACTTTTATTGCAAACATTAGGCTAAATGCACTGTGCAAGAAATTTTTGTGGGGATATTGCATTGATATATGAGACTAAGATTAGGATTAAAATAACATCATGATTGGGATATTTCAAATATAACCATTTAAAATTTATTATTTATTTATCAGTAACATAAAATATAACTAAATATGAGATGGTATGTGAAAATAGCATTATACTTATGTGAGTTTGTCATCATTTTCACAAGTATATGAAGGAATTAAAAATTAAGATAATTTTACAACTGAGTAAGAGAGTATAAAGTATGTGTACATAGTAACCATTCAGTTTAAAAATCCAAGATTTAAGATCTTGGTGATTTCTGTTCAGGAGTTCAGAAGTACTCAATGTAGCGCATATTTATTTTACAGAACGGTTTGACTGGCACACACTGCATGCCTTGAGAATTTGTGACACAGAATAATAAATGACTTACAACTACTGTACAGGACAAAGTTTTCCCATATATAAGACCCAAATGTTATATGAACAGTGTTACGTTGTGGTAGTACGTAATGCAGTGTTACTGAGTGTTCTGCTGGTATAGTAATTCTTTTAAATGGTTTGTAATATGCTGCCTATAATAATTGTTAAAATGTTTCCATATGTCAGATATACACATGTCAGCCAATACATTCCCATATGTATATCTGAACTCTGTAATCTTGAACCGTATTATATGTAAATGCTGTAATGTTAAATTGGATTCTATTGTACCTGTATATGTGCATATTGCATAATGTGTGTATGTACTATTCTCAGATTAAAATGGAGAACATGCCTGAGTACTGCAGCTGTGCAGGAGACTTCCAAACGCTTGTATCAAGAAATGACTTGGCAGTTTATCTCAAGATATTTCGTGGCATTGCACAGCATTTCAAGATGCCATTACTTCTGGAGACTGTTGAATTCAATATACAGATGAATCCAGGTTTAATTGCTTGACACTGAGAACATGCAGTGTTATACTGAAGACGTGTATCTGTTCATAGCAAAGGGAATGCTCTCATTGATATTTTCAGGATCTTGTATCTTTCTCCAGGAAATACTTCCAATGAGGAAACATGAATATTCTGTTCTGATGTCAGCTAACCATCCTGAATACATTTGCTCAAGCGTTACTTTCCTGGTTAAGTTTTTATATTCTGATTCTCAATCAGATTTATGAGATCTTGTTGGCAGAGGACAGTAAGTACTGAAAATGATATGAAATTGTATTTTTCTGACAGTTTAAAAATGGCTGATAAGTCATGAGGGATTCATGTCACCTGTGTCAGACATAGCATGTGAACTCAGCCATTTCCTACTGTATGTTTAAAATATTCATGTGACGAATGTAACAGCATATGCAATGATTTAAAAAAATGATTTTCTTTCATTTCATAGTTGTGAAAAAAATGTTAACTTCCACCCATTTTCCCTGTAGATGTATGTTTGATTTTGAGAAATGTGGATTATATGGTTTGTGATTTATTGACGCACCTTTTATGGCACATCTGCAATCCTGAAGAGCATCTATTTCATTATCTGAATCAGACCAGTTGTCAGTATGCAGGAAACAGCTCAAAATCTGGACAGATTTTTCATTAAATTTTATACTCGAGAAAGAAAAGAAAAAATGAGTCATTTCAATTTTCATTTAGATTGAACAGTTTTAGCGGACATAATACCTTAAGACCTACGTACATTTTTGCACATATCTTGAATGTAACTTGCTACATATTTGAGCAAGAAATATTTTAAGCAAAAGATGTGGAGAAAAATGAAACAAATTTTATGTACAGGGCACTTCTGCAAGTCTCATGGTTTCTCAGATAATTAAACAAATCAGGCAGTATGATACATTTCCCTATATCTGTATTCAAGAATTAGCATGGGCTCCCAGTCACACTTGAACATTACTGTTGGATTCTCCATATTTTTATTATTCATATATATTTCCTCTTCATTTGAATAATTGGGAGTATACTGTATTACTTTTATACTGGTTTGCTTCTGTTTTTAGATATACAGTAAAACTTGTTTATAGCAACATCAGTTTCTGCGACACCTTGTCTATTGCGTCAAATATTCAATGGTACGAACTAATTCCTCATAAAGCAACTGTTTTTAATACCTTGCTTAGTACGACATGCACAAATGCATCAACCTCGTATGTAACGTCATTTTCATTCCTGAATTTCTCTGATATGTACATTGAACGTAATTTAGAAAGTGTGTATTGGGCAAGTAACAGGAAACAGATGAAGATAACTGATTA